AGAACAGTTTGCACTGTGTCTTGGATTGCACGGTACACTCTAAACACCTGCAGGCCACAGTGCTCTGGTGATTTGTTGTTGAGTCATACTTCAGAATAGAGAGCTGTTGGCTTCATCAGTTACAAAAGGGATGACTCAAAAAAGAGTCTTGATCTGATAATTATCACTCACCAAGAAATAAGGCACATCTCTTGAATTTGAAGACACGATAGCATCACATGAGAGAATAGCTTTGACAACAGTAGTTGCTAGCACCATCTTCAAGCTGCACAGCCTTGGGTACACTGGGGAGCGAAGCTGCTGGCCAGTGTTACCTGCTATGGATTCCTGCTAATAATCCAATCTTCTGTCTGGACCATTTCTAACTGAGCATGCTAAACCTGTCCTTTAATTGGATCTGAATGTTAAAATAAAAATAACCATCAAAACATAAGGAGCAAGTTCTTGCCCAGTCTAGTGGCTTTCTACGGTGGAATGCCTCCATCAGTGGACAAGAGAAAGGCTGCAAATGTAATTTATGTGGACTTCTGTACAGCCTTTGACATGATCCCTCACAACATTCTTCTCTCTGAATTGGAGAGAGATGGATCAAATTCCATACTGATAGATGGATAAGAAAGTGGTGTTATGGTAACAACCTGAGTGGTCAATGGCTTGGAGTTCACCAGGGACATCAGTGACAAGTGGTGTCCCTTGGGAATCCATATGGTGACGAGTGTTGATATCTTAATTAGTGACACAGACAAAGGAATGGAATGCACTCTCAGCAAATTAGCAGATGGCACCAAGCTGAGTGGTGCTGTTGACACTTCTGAAGGATGGGATGCCATCCAGAGGGACCTGGACAAGCTCAAGTGGCCCTTGGGAATCTGATGAGGTTTAACAAGTCCAAGTGCTGGTGCTGCACCAGGATAGGAACAACCCCTGGTACCAGCCCAGGCTGGGCATGAACAGCCCCAGAGCAGCCCTGCCCAGGAGGGCTTGGGGGTGCTGTGGGTGAGAGGCTGCACATGCCCCGGCCATGGCACTGCCAGCCCAGAGAGCCAAACGTGTCCTGGGCTGCATCCAGAGCCCCGTGGGCAGCAGGGCAGGGAGGGGATTCTGCCCCTCTGCTCTGCTCTGCTGAGACCCACCTGGAGCACTGCATCCAGAGCTGAGGTCCTCTGAACAGGAAAGACATGGACCTGTCAGAGAGTCCAGGGGAAGCCACTGAGATGATCAGAGGCATGGAGCACCTCTCCTGTGGGGAAAGGGTGAGAGAACTGGGATTGTTTAACCTGGAAAGAGGCAGCATAGGAGTGACCTCACTGCAGCCATCCCATATCTGAAGGGAGCCTACAAGAAAGATGCAGAGGGCCTTTTTACAAGAGCATGGAGTGACTGAATACGGGGGAGCGGTTTAAAAAAGAGTAGATTTAGATTAGATCTTAGGAGGAAGTTTTCTGTTGTGAGGGTAGTGAGGCATTGGCACAGCTTGCCCAGAGGAGTTGTGGATACCCCATCTGTGGAAGCATTTAAAGCCAGACTGGATGGAGCTCTGAGCAACCCTGTGTCATGAAAGGTGTCCCTGTGCTCAGCTGGCACTCACAGCACAGAGAGCCTAATGTGTCCTGGGCTGCATCCAGAGCAGATGCAACTTTCAAGATCTTCTTGTTCCCACCTTCCTGCCATGTGCAGGGACACCTCCCACTAGACCAGGTTGCTCAAAGTCTCACCCAACCTGGCTTTGAACACTCCCAGTGTTGGTAATCCATAGCCTCCCCAGGCAGCCTGTTCCAGTGTCTCACCAGTGAAGTACTCCTTCCTAATATCTAACTATAATTGCCCCTCATTTAGAGTGCACCCATGACTCCTCATCCTATCACTATAGTTCCTTTCCCATTCCTACCACTCCAGGTACCCTGTGGGCACCTTCAGATACTGAAAGGTCTCAGGACTGTAAGCTCTCCACACAACCTTCTCTTCTCCCCCAACTTCCTCAGCTGTTATTGTAGGGGAGGTGCTTCAGTCTTTTAATTAACATTGTGGCTTCCTCTGGACTTGCTTCAACATATGTCTATTATAAGGCTCACATTTTTTCATTACTTAGTTTTGACCATTTTTGTGAATGACAAATTTCTGATAGAGCAGCTCTTCAGTTTTTTTTTTCCCACATGACTGTTTGGTAGGGACTAGGCCTTCATTCTCTGTGGCAGCATCCCTCTGGCCACAGAGAGCAACACAGGATTTCCCCCTCATTTTCCTGGGCAAGGCTGTGAGAAGATCAGAGAAAAGAATGATAATTCTTATCTGCACTTGTTGCACCTGTTGTTGTGAACATGTGGAATGTGTTATGGAGATTTGTTTACCAAAGAGTGATTTCTTAATTGGACACTGGAAGGTGTTTTTATGGATTGCCCGACTAGGTCAAAGCTGTATTGGACTGTCTGTAAGAGTTATGAGCTTCTTAAGAAGTGTAATGTAATACAGTAGAATAAAGCAATTAATAAGCCTTCTGCAATCATGAAGTCATGTTAATTGTTACCCAGCTGGGGGCCTGTGGCAACAGTTCTCCTCCTAGTGATCTTGCAGTGAAAACACAAAGGCTGTATTTCCAAAGATTAGACACAGGCAGTCTGGGAGACTTTAAATATTAAGAGAAGCACTGTCAGCATAAAATTGTTCAGCTTCAGGAAGAAATAGATTGAGATTAGGTATTTTCACACAGCATGCAACAGAAAAAAGGCACCTGAGCTTTACCTGCCTGCAAAAATATGTGTTCAACTGCTTCAACAGGCACCTTTATTGTGTCACATATATCCAAAATAAACAAATAAATCATTGTTATCTGACTCCTCAAAATACAGCAAGAAGTAGGGTTTTTTTCATAGGATATCTGCACAAGGAAGCATTAGAAATATCCACACGGGATGTTTATGCTCTGTGTCAGAGAAATGAAACAGTGGAGGCAGCTGGAGGAGAAAAAGAACACTTACCTTCTGCTTTCCTGCCAAATTGTGGCAACCGTCTCTGCATTGCATAGTATGGCTATAAGCTGCAGAATAACATGCATGGTTCTCTTTTGTAGGAGAGCAGAATAGAATTATTGTGACTGAATTTGTAATTTATTTATTTGTTCCTTTAGTTATTTATTACCAAGAGAACAAACACAAAGCAATGTGTACTGAAGAATGCCAGTAACTGTGCAAAACTGCCTTACTGTAAGTGCTCTAAAGTCCACTTTTCAGAAAATTCCACTTTTTCCCTGAATGAGGAAAAAGCACTTGCAAGGTTAAAAATAAACTAATTTTATTTAACAGTACCTTCTGAATATAGGAAAGACATTATGTGTTGAATTAAGAGAACCATTAACTGCCTAGTGAAAAAGTTGTAACTGTGACTCATGTAAAGAACAAATAGTTCCTAAAGCAGAGCTGTTTACAAGAGCAAGTTCAGTGCATAACAGCTTTGGAATCCTCATTTGGAGTACTGGATAACTGAAGTCCCAAGATTCTTCTTTTATTCCTCTCCCAGCCAATATAAAAGAACAACACATAATTTTTTGTGGATTTAAATGAGACTAAAACTCTTTTAGCTTTCACTCTGTCACAAAAATCCAAACCACAAGCCAGCCCTTTAGAAGAGCATTTCTTTTCAGTGGTTTGCTATAATCCAGATTTAAGGCATCATGTGTTGGACACAGTCACAAGTCATTCATAAATAACCTTCTGTTTAGCTGTCAAGAATTACATATTTGGATACAATCTTAAAATAATCATCTGAGGTAAAGATTTTCCAAATTAAATTGAATTTAATTGAAAAAAACAATAGAAGCAGTTTTATTTTTCTCTGTTGCCTGCTTTTTGTGGCAGGCTGAGGGAAGTGTGTAAAGTAAGGCAGGCAAATTTCCCACCTGCTCAAGCCTTGATTTGGATTATTTCATTTAGGAAAATCTTCATCTGCTGCAGCCTCAGTCCAGCTTGATGAGTCCAGTTACAATAAACTCATTTGTTAGGCAAGAATACAAGACACAGACACTTGCATGTAATATTGTATAGTTTCATCAAAACTGCTATCACAGTTCATGGTTCTTTAAGACACAGACTCAGACCAAACAGCTATTCAAAGTTAGTTAGCAGACCAGCAAGCATCTTTGGCCACCTTGTAGGAGGTCCTGGTCTAAATGAGCATCCTGATGGCCATTTCAGAATCTGAACAGTGGTGATTTAAATCCATATCTTAAATGCTGGTAAACATATGCCTTCATATTGGCATTAAGGCAGTAAATTGTCCTTTTAGTTTTAATACTAAATTATATGTTGCCATGCAATCAGAAGATAAGAAGCCAAAACCAACAAACAAATAAAACCACAAACCCCCGACCAACCAACCCCCCCCCAAAACAAAACCAAAAAACACCCAAAAAAAGCCCCACTGTGATTCTGTAAATCCCCTGAAGACCTATATTTCAAGCTGGATAACAAATCCCTTGCAATGTGTTGTTTTTATCCCCTTAATAATTAAATATTAGAAATAAGAAAAATAGTCTAAAGCAGCAGCTTACTAATTATTTTTAATCTATCTCTGTTAAAGGAGTATTATAGTTTCTTCTGAACAGAAGATGTTCTGAGATTTCCCAGCATCAGTTTAGATCTCCTGCAAATCTGGAATATACAAGCTGAATCATTGAAACTTCTGAGTGCAATGTAATTTAAGTACTCAGCTGCCACAGTCCTGCAGAAAGAAGCAAGAAAGCATCTTTGGCAGCAACAAGCTCAGGCTGAGCAGCCAAGGGGACAAAGGTCTAGTGACAGCTTTTACTAAATCAGGTTGAGATTTATATTTTTTAATATGGCACAGCATTTATTGAACAGCTTCTATGCAAGAAGTTACAGAAAGACGCTTTGCCATCAGACAACTACAAAACCTGTGAGGAATGATTCTCAGCAGACTTTGGACTTCTAATGTCAACTAGACACAAGACTGAGTTACAGAGGACAGAATTAACAGCCACACTGATGTTCATTTGGTATGAAGAGTTGCTTTTTAATGCCATTAAGTAACAGGTACTACAGTTTTACATAACAGTGTAACATCAATAAGTTTCTACATTTCCAGTTTGAGACAAATACTTAAATTCGTGATTTTTTTTTTAATTTTTAAAAAAATTTGCATTACAGAAAGTGCAAGAGAAGTTTGTATACAAGACTAATTGCATGACTGGCTGAATTTGGTACTAAGGCGGTATTCAAGTTGACTTTCTTAGCTCTCCAGTTTAACAATGGCTTAGGCATTTGATTTAACAATAACATTTCAAGTTTATACTGAACAGAAAAACTGCTGACACATCAGTCATCACCACTGGCCAGGAATGTAGCTGTCACAGGCAGTTTAACTGGTTCCAAAACCTTTTAGTAAAAAGGCTCTTGAGAAAAGGCAAGTTTTCCAAGAGATGAGTACTACCTCACATTAATGGCACAGAGGTGGTGGGTGGTGCATCTGTTCACAAGGAGTCTATGTGTGGAGTGAAGCCATGTTGGTGTTTTTGTTTTCCAGCATGTTGGAAACATACCCCAGTACACCAAGTGACAAATCAAACTGAGCACATCAGGGATTCACAGAGATCTAAGCAAGAACCCTACCTGCTTGTTTCATTTGTTTGCCAAGCCACCTTAATAGGAAAGTAATCCTAGTATTTTTCCCTCCCTGAAAACTGCCATATTAGCACCAAGACAACAGTTAGTGTCCACAGCTACCTAAATGTTCCGCAAGAAGTTTTCCAGCTTACAGTGTAGGCCTCTAGTACTCAGGGCTTCAGCAGTGCTGTTACAGACTCCGCAGTCCCTTAATGACACATTTATGGTGGAATGATACTTTTACTTTTAGTGAAATAGACCAATATTAGATTATTTTCCTCTACACAGTTACATTTTTGTGGCTAAGAGACCAAGTCACCTGTCCAGTCACCAATTAGAACTCCGTAGCCTTCACTTAACTTTACAACTAGCTACTGCTGTCACAATGGGCAACTGACCTAGTTGTTTAAGGTGTGAAGTTTCAGCTACTAATTCTATACCCTTATGCAAAGACACCACCTCTCCCCTAGGTACATTAAGTTCCTCTGTTGTGGGACAGTAAGTGCTATGTAAAGGGAAATGACAAGACACATTACTCAGTGCTGCCAAACTCTCTGTAGAGAAGTGCAAAGAACTAAAGTAAAGGTAACATCCACCAATTTGAATTTGGGTTTTCAGCGTGAGTCAATATCCCCATTTGCTTTGCCCTGAATTATCATCTTCACAGCATGCTCTTTGAGGGTCCATGCTTCAATCCACCTGGATACATTTTAGAATGCAGACATCATGAAACATCAGCAAGAATAGCAGACAGCAAAGTGAAACACGTAGAAAAATCACGTTGAGAAGAGGTCCAGTTATTCCATTTGTCCTTTTCTGGTTACACCTAGTATGATGGAAAGGAATTAGCGTTAGTACGGTTATGATTTGTGGCTTTATTGCTTAAACAGAGCCACTGAGAACAAAACTAAAGCAATAAATACCAACACTTGTCTTCTATCAGAAGCTAGACAGTATTTCAGGGGAAGACTGAAAAGTATGGCAGAAGATTTGCTGGATCAGTAGATCTTGCTTTTCAGTCAATGGTATGAAATTTCAAATTATATTTTTTTCTGGCCACAAAAGTGCTTGTAACAGCTTTTGATTAAAAATCAGAGTAAGAGTCTAGCAGCCTTATTCTAGTTTTATTCCAATTTTCCCCAGAGTCTAAAACTGCCATTGTTAAGGTGATTAAACTTCAGAAAGCTGTATGCTATATAAAGGGCACTCTATTCTAACTTTCCCCCACAGATATCTGAAAGTATTAAAGTCAGCTCCTTTGAGCTCTGCAGCACATATATAGTCATTAATTTTCCTCAAGAAAAGGAAATCTAGATCCATTATGGTTCTTGGGATTTAAATCTGTGGAAGAATAAAGTCTTTATTTCTAAGAAAGTGAAGCTGGCTAGGCTTAGACAGAGTGCAGCTATGTACAAATTTGATAGAGTTACTCTAGCACTCTTCCAAGCACTGTTTGTCAGATTTCAGGGAGCATTAGTGTGAAGCTACTACAGTTCTTAGATATCTCTTTGCCAAATATTTCCTCAATAAATTTCAGAGGATGAAGTCATTGGCTTATTGGTGGAAGACTTACATGATCTATGCAAACGGGTTGCCAAATTGATCATCAAAAGGACCAGAAGGTGGATTCTGAGATTCCTTCTAAGAAAAGAGAGATAAGCTGTTAGTGGATTTCCAGTTTTCACCAGATTTACACCGCATGGCTCTATGAGCTATTTCCTGTTCAAACACCTGGAAAGAATACTTCATAGCTCCTGCTAAACACACATTTACTGTACTGCTTCAACAAAAGAAGGGGGCTGTAAGCTATGTTAGGTTTTATGCTAGTTCAAGGCAAGGTACTTTTCAGAAAACCGTGTGCTACTGAGCACTCCTTTGGAGCCAGTGGAGTCATGATGAGATATCTTCTAGTGAAATGCTAGAAGTCTTAAGTCAGCACTCTGGTATTGGTCCAGAATTTTCACTGAGGACTTCAAGAGCTCTGCCCCAAATGGAGTGATCTGGTGAAGCTACTTTCTCCCCTACAGCGTCCTGAACATGGAACCTCTTATTTGTTCAGCTAAAGAGCTTCACAATCCACACTGCTCAGGCTGCTCTAAAGAGGGTTATATATAATCAAAGTGGAGCATTTCTGCAGCTACATTACGTGATAGTCTTTTGTAGAGTGTCCCAATACTACAGAACTTTGCACCATGGGAAACTGGTTGTGGTGCCAAGCCAAATGGAATAATGCTTTGTTAACCTTCTTGCAACAGATACCCTCTGCTAGATTACATATTAGCCTCAAAAGTGCAAAAGGTTTTTGTTGTATGGCTTCTAAAGCCAGAACTAAACTAGTGTTCAAATATAGGCACCACAGTTAATAAGGAGAAAAAAAAGGTTTTTCATGTCGTTTTTTGTGGTGGTGATGTCATTTGTGCATTTTGGTGTTAGGGTGTTTTTTTGTAGTTTCTTTTGTTGTTTTATTTGTTTTGTTGGGGTTGTTTTATTTGTTTGTTTGTTGTTTTAGTTTTTTTTTACTACTTACAGATGAGGCACTGAAAGGGTCTGTTTTATCTTGACTTTCAAACAGGCCTTCAGCTGGCAACGCACTTTGTTGAGGAACAGGCTTTGGTGGCTCTAAAAAAGACAGACATACCGCTATAAATACTTGACAGATTTAGTAACCACTCAGGTCTGCTTGTATAGCAACACCACAGCTCATCTAATTAGAAACACAAAAAAATTACATGGAATTTGCTTAGAGTGACTTTGAGTCACAATATTAACTTCCGCATGTCCCTCACTAAGCTTAAATCAGATGGAAATTCTAACATCCCACAGACTTAGGTTTACTTCTTTCTAGTAAAATAATTTAGGCACTAGGTGTCAGTATTTAGCCATACTGCTGCTAAGTCTTCGATTTTATAGCTGAGCCAGCCCTTTAACCCTCTATTTCAGTAACCATTAACTCCAAAATGTAACCAGTCATTTTGGCAGACAGCTTGATAGCTGCCATTTCATCATGATCTGTATTATCTTTAGAAATGCCTACTTTACTTCTACAGTAACTGCTGGGAACTCCAGAAGCACCTGAAAGGCTTTGCTGTTCTCCTCTCCTTGCTGGTACTGCAGGTGGCTTTGTCAGCTGGAAGTCTTTGAACATTTCCTTGACATCCTTCATTTCTCTATCTCCAAGTGGATCCAGAGCAATGAATGCATCACTCTCTTTCTTGGACAGCTCCTTCTGCACTGCAGCTCTGGGTGGCGGCTGGGGTGGGCTGGCTGCTGTTGACAGGGAGGGCAGTGCTGAGGCTGTCTGAGCTGGTAGTGGTGGAGATGTGAACATGCTGCTCTGGAAGGGATTCACAGCGCTGGTTGGCTGTGCCCAAGAACTAGGAGTAACTTGTGCTGGCTGTGACCACAGACCAGAAGACTGAGTGGGGGTGGCTCCAAAAGATGAAGACTGGTTCCAGCCTGGCACTGTTTGAGTACCGAAGACAAGTGGTTGAGTAAATCCTGGAGACTGAGCAGGCATCATAGACCCGTGAAAGACTGATGTAGCCTGAGTGAAGGAAACTGTCTGTGGGGTCCATGGTGATGAAGTTACTGGCAAGCCACCTGTGGGGAGATTGTTGTTACACAGCACTTCAGTCATCTGAAGACCACAAGCAGGAGTGTATCAGTTCCATAAACGGTACCAGCAAAAGATTTTCATGTACTGTTTGAAAAAATCTCTTGATTTGCACTTACAAATCAAATAATTTAGGAGAAAGGGGGTGGGAGAAAGGATTTCATTTTTTACTTTGCTGCATTTCAGTGCTACAAGGACAAAATTGAGGTTGTTGTAAGGAAAGGAGGAATGTAGTTCTAGCACAGAAGTGACAGGTGGATTTGCCATATGTTGCTTCTGTTTAAATTATTATTAAGACACTGTGCAGCAATGTTACTCTGACCTCACAAGTTGTGCTTGGCTCACTTGAGCCTTGTGTACCTGAAGCAGGAATCTGCTGTCAAGGCAGTTAACTGCTTTAATCCTGATTCAGCTGAGGATGCAGAGTTTAGCATTCACAGAACTTAATAGTTTAGGGCAAGCAGCACATGGGTTAAAGGGTATAGCACAATACAAGAAGTAAAGGAAAACTAGAATCCATGTTTTGGTGCTAGCAGATGTCTTGGAGTGGAACAAACATTTACTTTTGTAAACTAACCTAGAGCAGCCAATGGAGATGCTGTGGTAGAACTTTTTGTGAAGAGGTCCAGCGGGTTAGTCAGCGAAGCTCCTGCCTGTGCCCCTGAGCTCAAGCTAAGGCTCTCTGTAGATGGCACAAAGAAGTCTGAGCTGAACAAGTCATCCGATGCAGTCTAGAAAGAAAAGAAAAAGTGAGATGCCATGGCAGAACACATGCTAACACAATCAGGGCTCCCTAGTCCAGAGCTAGAAGACTTTTTTCATCTAAAGTGGAGGAGGGAGTTTTGATATATCATTTACAGTATAGGAGTTTCAAATATCACCCTTTTGTTCATGCCTGTGGAGATACACGGCATTAAATAAGTAAAACAGGTAGTAGTCACAAGTCAACAGCAGAAGAGCAGGACTTAAAATGGCTGAATTATTTGCTATAAGTGAGCTTCCCTCTGCACCCCACCCTTTAAACACTACTGCTTAGTCTGCAGAAAGTCCTGTGCTTGTGGCAAGGCCAGGAGTTTTGCATAATTTGAGTACAAGACAAATGAAGCTGATCCAGGGCCATGCTCTGCCTAATCAGGCAAGTCATTGAAATTTCCTTTAGTAGGTAAATACTGAGAAACCACATGGGTTTTGGTAAGCTAGTACTAGTATCTTATTGTTATGAGACCCTAGGTTGATGGGTATACTGCTATCATAAATGGTTATACGCTATCATAACAGATTCTGGCGTTATATCGAGTGTTAATATGCATAGCAGCACACTTACCAGACCTTTACAGGAGTATGGCAGCATTAAAGAAGAGAGTATAGAATTTAGTGACCACAGCTACTATGAAGCATTCATTCATAGATATTAGAAGGTACTATGGCTGCAGAGAGTTTAGTGTGAGCAGGGCAGGCAGAAGCAGACATGTTGTGAAGCTAGGTAGCCAGTTAGTTATACAGTAATAAGAAAAGCTTCCTTTACCCAGCTTCTCCAAATAAAATCATGCATATCACCATAAATTACTTGAACACTGTTCACCTTGACTGATCTCCTTCCTCTTCCTGGCTTGGTACTCTGTGGTGGTGGGCTAATTGTTATAGGCTCATGTGGCGTGAGTTGGATATTGTTTTCAGAATCCAGTTTTACTCCATTCTGCAGAGATGTTCCTTTGGAAGCACCTTCCAGAAAAAGGTTTGTTTGGGCTTCAGGAAAGCCATTCCTTTCTCTCTCTGGTATCACATTGGGAATTCTTGCTGCAGGTGACTTACTCTCAAGTGGCCACTGGCATGTTAGTGCTTCTTGTTTGCCAGTTCTATTAGAAATCTGGTCAAACTGTTTATCAAAGTAGTCAGTATCACCATTTGGATCACCATTACCCCCTGATGTCAAGGTAGTTGGACTTTTCTTCTGATCAGATTTTAGAGAATCAAATGAAGATAGTGCAGATTGGACCGGCTGTGTGAAAGGATCATCACTGAAAGGGTCTGGATTAGGTGTAGGAAAGAAGCTGAGATTGGTGGAGAAAGAATTCTCAGGCAAGAAGGGTGGCTGTGCCTTTGGTTGTGGAAGAGAGGCTGTGATGCCATTCAAGAAGAGATCCTCTTTTGCAAAGGTTTGTTTGGTCTCAATTTCAGAATTAAAATCCACTAACAGGATCTCTTTAGCTTCCTATTTTTTCAGAGAGAAAAATTAAGTTAGTTATACATAGATTTTGCTTCACAGTGAAAAAGATCAAGGGAAATAGCTGCAAAAGAAGAGATTCTAGTATCCAAAACATTATACCAGTAAATTCTCAAAATCACACAGTCAGGCACTGCTGTCTAGTCAAATTCTGGCTATTTGGTCCCTGAAACCCAATACTGAAACGTCTGTTTTCAAATCCCTATGTTAAATATCAGATGCTTGTTCTTCAACCTAGTGACTGTAGAGTGAGTAGGAACAAATTACACCTAGGCTTTCACTTGAGTCAAAGACCCCTGCTTGAGTTGAATCCTTAGTTCTGACAAGCTGTGTAATCACACTTAGTATGACTTCAAGTTGCAGTCTCAGCTTCAGAATGACACTGAGGAACTAGTGGAAGGTAACAAGCTGATTCTCCACCAAGCATGCAGGAAAAGGGTAAGACTTGGTCACTGGCTGGGTTGACAGCACCAACTGCATTGTGCTGGTGGTGGCTTATAGTGCCAGATTTAAAATGATTGATTTTTGGGGTTGCTGAGCTATGATAAGATTTATGCACTCTTTTGTGCAATTAGGCCAAATTTTGAGCTAGAGCTACTGGAATGATGTCAGCATTAAGTACTAGAATGACACCTAGTGGTTAAGTGGATACTTCTATGGCCCTACGCCGCTAGTACAGTGCTGACTGCTGGGCAGTCATGTAAAACCATTACTTATTACTAGGACTAAATTAGCTTTCAAGGAAAAAGCCAAGGCAAGTAAGCTCGACTCTACTTACTGTGGGACTGCTCATATCAGGGGGTGTTGACATATCCCCAAACAAGTCCATCTGGTCAACTCCCTTGAAGTCAGAAATATTGAAAGAATTGGCATCTGTTAGAGCTCTCACAAGAAAAATAATCAAGCATCATGCAGATTTACTGTAAAATCTGCAGTAAATACTATAAACACTATCTATAAACACTGCATTACCTACACAATTATGGGGACAGCCAGTTATGAACTCTTTATAGGCATCAACAAAATGTTTTGGAATTTAACCTACCGGTTTCATTTTGTCAGCTTGATCAGCAGGCAGTTCTTCACCATCATTCTGTAATAGACAGACAACAGTGTCAGAAATAACTGGATTTTCAAAATTTGCATTAAGCAAGGAATTTGTGGGCTTTAAAAAGCAAGTAATGGGGAAGGGAAGTATGAGAGAGATTACTACTACGTATTAGATCCACAGACCCCTTTTATTTCCATTTTGATGTAGTTGGGCATCTGACATTGCCTTCATAATGCTGGCAGCATAAAGAAAGTTAGATGTGGTGCAGCAGCATACCTAATCAAGAGAGGCTGAGTGGAAGTGACCTACCTAGTCTTACTTCTTCACTCTAAAGAAAAAAAAAGACTTTCAATACCTAAGCATCATGCAGAATATCAAAATTCTCTCACTTTGGAGGAGCTCAGCAGACCTAGGCAGTCATACAGCTGGCATGACTGCCAGCCAATAGCTTCCAGTGTTTCTGGATTTAGGCAGAGCTTAGTATCAAGTCTTACAAGAGCCCAAAAGTCAGCCAAAATTGAAACAGACTTTATGCAGACTCATGCAATTTCTATATTTTTACTCACATTTTTCTTTTCTTCTTCTTCCTTCTTCTTCATATTATAAATTAGTTGGAAGAGGTCCTTAAGATCAGAAACCAGAGGCTCGGCCTGGAAAAGAATGTAGATTTTAGGCCATGTACTACTTTTACCTGGACTTCTGTTGCTGCAATCTGTGCAACAAACTTCCCTAAATGGTGCAAGACTTAGGTTGAGATAACAGGAAAAGCAAGAGTTTAAAGACCTGTTTAGTCTTCATACAAGATTCTGCTTATGCAGAATCTAAGGGGAATAGAACACAACCAGTGTAGAACTGTTAACTCTACAAAAGTGGCTGTTCGTGCTAACCTATGTTTTTGCTAAAAAGCTGGTAGTAGTACTTCTAAAGTGCATGGCAAATCCTAGAAGTGCAAAATTTATCCAAGCCTTCTGGTAGTCTCCTGTGAGGAAGAACATTTTGCATTTGTCTATTTGCTACCAACTCTAGCACTGAACATAGAGAAAGCTTCTATATATAACACTACTTTTAAATAGTGTACAAATAGCAAAGGAACAGGGTGAGCATAAAGTAAGATTATCATCACCTCAAATGTGTAAAGCTTTAGAGACCAGCTTAAAGTGGGATCTGTGACATGATGGCAGTTTAATGCAAATTAGAAAGGCACAGCATGCCCTGCACATCCATTGACAAGAAAGTTGTTGTGAAGATGGTGGTGAGTTCAGATACACTGCTTTGGAACACTTGTGTCAAGCATGCAGCAGCTTGCCAGTGTCTGGAGTAGGACACCTCCCCACCTTCAGCCACGACCATTGGCACAAGCAGAGAATCCTTTGTACAGATCTCACTGGTTACACCTGAGCACCATCCTTTCCTTTCCTAATCAAGGGGTCTAGACATGCAGCTGTGGGAAGAGCCATTGCAAGAATCATCAGCTTTAACAAGGAGTCCAGCTGCAGCAGGCTAGAGCTGCAGAAGTCCTTCCTTACAATTTACTTATATCCTTACTTACAAATTTATGACAAAAACATGCAGCAGCAAGTCAAGAGCTGTCTAAGGCCTGGCTGGGCTCAGAGGCTGGCAAGCAGCACCCCATGGTGAAATGAAGGAATAGACTCCAGAATACATACAAAAGGCTTTTGTGCTTAACCTACAATTCCACTGAAATCAATACAATTATTGGTCAGTATGCTGACAAACTAATCAAAAGGACTTAGAAGGCCTTATGGCTGTTACTCAAGTACTAACATGCTCCAGCAAGGAGCTCCTCAGTGGAGGACCCGTAGTGGGGCCAAAGCTGCCAACAGGCTCCCCAGGAGGGCAGGCAGGAATGGGTAAAAAATTTCTAGCTTTGAAGTCTGGGCTCATCAATTCATTATAGTGACTATTATAAAATCATTGTAAAGAAAAGCTGATAATTTAAAAATACCTAGCTTCAGATTGTTTTTAAACTACATAATACTTAGTGGTATTTTTAAGTAGCTTTTCCCAGAATCCAGTATTGAGATTCCCCTCAGAGAGACTAACCTTGCACACAGGATTTCTGCATGTGAGGAACTTACCACAGAAGGATCAGAATCCCTCCCAACAAGTTAGGGTTAGAATGTCCTAGGAGGACCAGACCTGTCATTTACAGGCCTGCTGCACAAGGCAAAGCATCATGTGAGCTAGACTAACATAGCCCCATATTTCTATTAATTCAGAATGAAGCTTTGGCTATTTTACTTAAGAATTCGTACTTTCACAGTGGGAAGCCTGTGCTAATGACTCTGTTCATCTCACTAATGACTTTCATAGACAAGTTAAGCACTGTTAATCATAGTAACCAAGACTACTTGAGTGATTTTATTCTGCACTACAAAGAAACTGTACAAGGCTGAAGCCATGGTGACACAGTCGATTCCTATTATCTTTCTTTCAAAGAAACCTATCCATGCATGCTGGTATTCCCCAAAGGAATTTTGTAGAATTATCAGCAAAACACTAGACCCTTATCACATGTTAAATGTTTACACATCAGCATTATCCATAACATGTGAAAGAAAGTGTCTGATTCATACCTGTTGGGCTGTTTTTATGGCAAAAAATTGGTGCTGGCCTTCTCCTCCACATACATAGCCAAAGGCACGATTGTCTGTTACATCCCGAGCAATAAAGGAGATTTTGTTTACTGGATGCTCATGCTCTATCACCTGGAATTGGGAAAAAACAAAAAAAAATATTGGTTTAAATTTCTGGAAATAGAATAGCTGCTATTCTCTGCAGTTAGAATGACTGTTAAAAACTTTCAGTCCAAACCTCAGATTCATCAGCCTTTGATTCATCACAATAGGATGCAACTTTCTTTCTGACAGGACTCTTCAGCATTACAAACATTTCACAAGCCAATTTTTATATGTGGAAGTGAGGCATAGTGCTCAAATAAGAATGTAGTTCATATTGTTCTAATTTCCAGGTGCCTCACTAGCTTTAAGAATCACATTAAGAAAATAAGTTATATCTTACCCCAGTTTTTTCGTCTATTATCTTGATGCCAGAGAGGGAGATGTTTACCCAGATCTTCTGTTTGTGTTGACCCTGGGAACGGGCTGCTGCTGCCATTCCCTAAACAGAATGAATGCCAAAGTATTGATGAGACTTGTGTTGGATTGAGCTTTAACTTTTTCTTTGTAACCTAGGACTGCTTAGGTTTAAAGTGATACCACAGATCTAGATGGTTTCCTCTGTAAATGTTTTATATGTTGTAAATATTTTTAAAACAGATTTTAGTCCACAAAATTGATGCAGTAGCAGCGCCTTTACCTGCTTTTCCAGCATGCTTGAAGGTATGTGAGTGTTCTGCACTACAGAAGTAATAGTCTTTGTTGCTGCAGGGATTAATTTATTTTTTTGTTTGTCTGTATCTCTCAGCACCACTGTTAACACAGGATGCCAACTTGTACTTTGAGGTCAGTGTAAATTGCATAGCAGTCCCTCCTTCCCCTCCAAAACCCATGAAATTCATACTGCCATCATTCATATAGGATGCCTACAGACCCAAAGGAATGTTCCCAGACTTTCAGAGAAATGTTCTTTGAGACAGAGGTTACAGTGCAGGAAGCAACATCCATCTAGATGGTGCTGTGAGTAACTACATTACCAATAAGCTGTATTTGAAATTTTGCCAGTGACTGTTTGATCTGCTTTTTGAAGGCTAGCCAGAGATTGTTCCTTACGTGATAGATCAAGCTCTTACCTTCAGCTTCATCATTGAATCCTGACTCATTTTGTCTCCTCTTGCCTCAGGAACATCATCTATGCCAATCAGTTTAGCTTTGTATTTTACACCATCACCTTTGAATCTAGCCAAGAGAGATTCATCTGTTTTTTCTGGCCCTGGAGACAGAGAAAAGGTATGGTGGGTCTGTTCATTTTTTGAGGTTATTTTTACATTTGGGTAAGGTGGATTTTTTTGGTTGGTTGTTTGTTGGTTTTTTGGTTTTTTTTTTTTTTGTTTTTTTTTTTTGGGGTTTTTTTTTTTTTTTGGTGTGTGTGTCTTTTTTTTTGTGTGTGGTTTATTTTTTTGGGTTTTTTTTTTTTTGTTTTTTTTGTTTTTTTTAATGATAGAAATGGCTATGTTGAGATTCAAGACCTTTGAAAAAAATATACACCAGATAAGCATACACCAAGCACAGGTTAAAACTGTCTCTTGAGTACAGCTGACTAACAATCCGTGTGCACTGCAAGACAGGTACTCCTTTACGGTCACAGTACTCTTGCAGAATGTGGCCTCAGTTCAAAGATGTCTGGGGGCTTCAGAACAATTCTTCACCACATGAAAGACTAAAATGTGAATAAGCAGCCATCAGGTAGATAGAGGTGTTAAGAAAAAACACCATGCAGAAATGTTACCTCCCATGGCCATACAGGATGTTCAGTAAGGCCTTTAGGTGTTATCCCCAGGTTCTGATGTAGGCAGATCTCTTCTTGCTGTGCAAAAATAACCTCCCAGTTCACATCCTAGAGCCTGATATCAGCACCATCATACAATGAGTCCTGGTACTTTCATTCTAAGCATTTGGGATTTTAGCTAATTTGTTGTTTCTGCTGTTCCAGCTACTAGGAACTGCTTGCTTTTCTCCTGTGCATGCTCAACATTGCTTGAGTATGTACCTAGGTATGTATTTGTGTATGAGGTAATTATATTTACATGATCTAATCTATCAAAAAATCTATTATCTGATATACAATAATTCTTTAGGAATGAATTTTCTAGCTTCTCTGGACTAGAATTTGTATTCAGCACAAATCATCTTTCTGGAGGGTGGGGAGGTGTCAGGTTAAAGTTCAGACTAACAGCTACCATGATGCTCCAGGGTCTGGTCAGGTCCTCAGGAGGATCCCTCTTCTCTGGGCTCTTGCTTACTTGTTAGGCTCAGCAAATTACTTACTAAACAGTGGGACACAGAGTTTTAGATCTTAAGGCTAGAAAAAAGCTTTTAAAACTAAAAGCCTAGCTTCTGGTTAAGTTTATTATACTGGCGTATTTACTCACCCTTCTGGTCAGGTGGTAAACTCAGAGTTATTTCAGCAATAGTGGGAGGGTGATATTAGTATAGGCACATGCAAAAGATTAAGGACACAGAATAGAGGAGGTGTTCATGTGGTAAGCATTTCTTACCTTTCTTTTTTTCCTTCTTTGAAGATTGTGCCTTTGGTGGAGCCTGTTGTTCAGGCTGGCTGTTGGTGGCAGCAGTTTCAGCTTCAGTCGACATGATGGGACTATGGCCAGTTATGTTTACTGTAGGCTTAAAAATTCAAATAATAGTTAGAAGACAGAAATAATATTTTACCTTGAAGAAGAAATACTCTTATCAGAGCTGTTAGTCCACCCGAGTTCCACTGCACACTGATGCCTGACAAAGTCTGAAAGTGTAAGGAGTGATCAGATGGCAAGCATGACTCAGACTACACAGAGCATGAAGTCATGGCCAGGACTCACCTCAGTAATACCTAAGCAGTAGGGCACACTGATCTACATCACTGGGCTGTACTTGCACCAACATGTTTTAATCTGTCAATCTTTAGCTTTTTCTTACCTTTTAAGGCTATTTTTAGACCCTCAGGTATTTTAGCATATTGTTGTTCAGCACTGCCAGCTGCATCTCCAAAGCAGCGTAGGAGAGAAAGCAAGAAACATTTGCTAGGATCTGTTCCAAACAGATCCTAGCATCCATCCTCCTATGAGGATGATGCCAAAACACCCAAAAGATGCCAGTAGATATTGTTCATGTTTTTATAACCAGCAAAAGGCAGAGGTTATACCACCCAACAGGTGAAACCAAATAATTTCCTCAGGCTGCAGACAGACTGCTCCAGTAAAAACACAACAGAACCTCAAGCCAAACCCTCCACACACTTGTCTTAACAATAATCATGTAATCTTTAGATTTTAAAAAACCCTGCAAATTGAGAAGAAACTATGGACTTTTAGGACTAACCTCTATGCCATGTGACCCTTTTGCCTCTGAGACCCAAATTTTAAAAAATAATTTACATTTACCATGTTTTGTTCCAACGCAACTGAAGCAGAGGTACTTAAAGCAGCTTTATGGAGTTATGAAGATCTAAACCAAGCCAGAAAGAACTGTATATCCACATCTACTACCATTCTATCAATCTTCTGTCTGGGATATTGCAATGGCTGCAGTTAGTACCTCGAATTTTAGGATAACAAATGAAGCCAAGAAATTGCTTAAGTGATTAAATAATTTGGCTCCTTTTTAATTCACCTTACATCCAGGCAAGCTGCTACAGACAAAGCCATCCCTTTTATCTAGCACTTGAGACACGATTTGTATGTAGCTCCAGGTACTGAAGCATTGCACAGTCCCTTGCATTAGAAGTTTGTTATTCTCAACAGTCAATTCCTCATTTGCCTTAGTAATAGTTGATGCTTTACTCAATACTTGAAATGTACTTTCAGGGTTTTGCTCTCACTCCTGCCTTCCCTTCTCCCCCAGTTTACTGCTAACTAGACTGACTCCACCAGCTTGCCACCAAGTAATGGCTATGAATTCTTGACTGACTCTTAACCCATGAAAAATACAAATTCCTAGGTCTTAAAGAGAGAATTTCACCCTGAAAGCCTCTCAGGGCTTTAAATGCATTTAACATTGCATTTAACCAGGAGGAAGGCCTTTAGGAACTTGCTAATCTAAGCAAAATTACACCTAGCTTCTTACCAGATGGTTTGTGAATTGCATTTAGCATTGGTCAAGTAAATCAACACTGATAAGGGTGCTCAAATGGGAAAGAAGTGTCAGCTATACCTGTTCTCCTCTGTAAGCAGCCTATCTGGCCACAGTTAGGGAACATTTGATGCAAAGGAACAAAGGTGTTGCTGTGAAAGTTTCAAGTGGTTCTGAGTAGAAATAGATGTCAGAGGAAAAGTTTGTTTAGCAAGCCATGGTTATTTAAGAAATGTTATCACTGAAAGAGTGGCTTATGTGTCCATTCTGACAGGGGTCAAGGGGAAAACTACTAAGCCCACAGGGATTTTGCAAAATACTTGCAAGCGTGCTAAAACAGATAGTGCCTATTTAAATCCACATTTTAATCAGATAAAATGAAGTCAACTGAATTCTTTCAGAGTAACTAAGCTAGTTTCTCTGATAGTATAGTTTTGGGTGGAGATAGCTTTTAGACATAAGCATAACAAATCCCTCCCTAGATTTATCAAGTCCTTCAGAAATAATGAAGGAAAAAGTTAAGGTTGGATCATTAGTTAAATGCCCACTCCTATATGGAAGATTACTGTTCAGAGAATAGAAGGAAAAGGCCCAGAAGAGAGAAGTAAGACGTGCTCTCAAGAAGCTGAGTTATAGCTTTGGAACATTCTGCCTAGCTCCATTCTGGAAAGAAGAAATAAGAACCTCAAGGCACTGAATCCTGCCTGTCAGTAATCCTTCTTCCTCTGATTAGCAGAGCTACACCCAGATGTGTTGTTATACAACTTGCATCACACGTTGGAGTAAAATTAAGAGGCAATAAAAAAGAAATAACTTAGAAAAGAGCAAATATGCACAAACAAGACAACTTTGACAACTGTAAAATGGTCTATGGCTATATGTGCAGCTGCCATCTTTGCATTCAAGGCATCTCTGATCATCACTGCCATCTGCCTCCATTGTGTGGAAGTCAGACCACTAATTTATATAGAACCAGATAGCAAAAAAACCCACAGTGAAGGAAGACAAGGAGGGATACACAAGTGTGGCTGAACCTTTGCAAATACCCTGTCTTACTATGGGAAAACTCATTTTTAGTATTAGCAATGCAATTTTAAGTTGGTGAGGGCCATCTGGCTACTTTGCAGGACCTACTCTCATATCTGAGATCTGCCAAAACTCATGTTTTCTGGTGGGATTTTGCAGCAAATGATAGTCATTTATCACACCTTCAGAGAACTTCGTGTCTTTGGAAATCACCTCAGAAACAACAGAATTAGTAAAACTAAGAATGCAATGATAAAGGCAACCTTAATATGTGTTCATATTTTAAATAACTACTTCTTGATACCTGAGTAAAGCCACATGTCTAGCACTAAGTTGTCTCTGTATTCACCTTAAAATTTCACTGGGGTGGGAAGAAACATGTAGCTTGAGCTAGCAGTAATCTATTCTACTCACTACAAAAGAGCCTCAGCCCCAAGTAAATATGGTTTCTGGGCTTTACACTCAAGCTAAAGTTCAGCAAGGTTACCATCAGACTTAAGTTTGTGTTATCTTAATGGAAAGTGCTGGCGTGCTTAACATGTAAGGAACTAAAATAAAGTTAAAATCTTCCATTTGTTTCTTGGTGGCTTCCTTTCACAGTGCTCAGCCCCTTAGAATTTCCTTACTTCAGCTGCAGGTGGAAGGCAACACGACTAGAACTGTTTTCTTACACTTTAATTTTGAGGTCATCTCAAAAGAGTCAGCCAGCAAGCATGGCACGGTTAGAGATGCATGTGCTTGTATGCAAGGGTGAAAGGACTGCTGAGCCTTCGGATACGCTGGCATAGTAAAGACCAAGATCATTACCCAAGCAACTATGTCAGCACTTAGTTTAAAGCAGTTTGAATCTTGTCCATGTAGATGAGTCCATTGGTATCACCACACCTTCATTACTCACTAATCAGTTGTATGGTCCATCTTCATTGCTGTGCTAAATGAGCTGTTTCAAAAATCCAAAGAGTACAGATTTACAAAATCCAAAGAGTACAGATTTACAGATGCTGCTATCTTGGGAGAAGTGCATCAAGCTCTGCCTGTATCACCACATACATATCACACACATTTTTCTCACCCACTTTTCAATTTACTCCAGACACACCTGGTACAGAGACCACTAGCAATATCTTCCTCCTTTCCTTCAGGGGCTATCCTGTGAAGAGCAGATAGGTACTGATGACTCCTCAGACAAACACCATGTCAGGCCCTCAACACAGTGCTTGATGTACAACCTGCTACCTACTCAAGTCAAACTACTTGTTCTTCATTTCCACACAGTTACCTTAGGAAAGTCAGTCTTATAACTTCTGGTATACTGCACTGTTGGTGTCTTCTCTGAACTCTCTGCAGAGAGGGTTGTCAGTCATGACAAGTCATCCCTGAAATACCTGTTTCTTAGCAAGACTTGGAAGAACATGCCAAACAATTTTGTTGAGCAACATTTAGTTTCCCTTAGAGATGCTTTTACAGATACCTCTTATTTGAGAAAGGGGTGGCGACACGAGATATACCCTTAATGATTATGTTTTTGTCCTGTACACAAGTGAATTGAAAATCTTCATTATGGCTGGAGCTTGTCATAGAATCCAACAGACAGGCTTTTCCCCCCTCAGCAGGCAAATATAAGTGTCTCAAAGTTGATGAGAGATGATCTGAGAAGAGGCTAGGGACACCCAAAAAGTCAGAGGTAGATAAGCTAAACATCTGCTCAGCAGCTCAATACTTTGTTCTCTTCACAGCCTGTGCTTCTTTGTCCCTGCAAGTACATGATTCAGCTTAAAGAGTTATTGTAAGTAAATATTAACCTTGAATTAGAATTTGTAAGGACAAGAGAAGCTTTTACTGCTGAGTGAAATAGAGTTAGGATGAACTAGTAACAGGAAGCACAGCAAGAGTTCAACAGCTGAACATGCTTCTGGGGCTGGTTGTTTCCTCTCCCACTGTTCTTGAAGAGTTAGTCAGGTTCTTCTGGTTAGAAGGCTGTGCTAGTGAATTCAAGATTTTAATTTGCAAGCTAAGAAAATAGACTAAAGACTAAACAGCAATTCACACAATGACTAGCAAGAGTCAAAGTTGTAAAGCCAGATAGTCTGTTATCAGTAAATCATCTTGACTGGCAGTTTTCTGCTCACATCAGGAGTATAGTAGTGCATTGGGATGAACCCCTGTAGGGCTGACTGACATTTGCATCTAACAACTCCCCATCTGATTATCACATTTTCTGCTTAGTTCCTGCTTCAATGGTAGTAGCCTTGAGAAGCCCTAGGCATGCACTAATAAATCAAAAAACATAAAAGTACTAATCAGACTTTTTAAACAGGATCACCCATGCTGAGGAGTCAAATAAAATATAATCTTAAATGTTTTCTTTCATTGCTAGAACACCCATTGCTCTGGTGTCTGACAGTGTCTAAAGAGTTCAAGTTGAATAAACCTTCTGCAACATGACACAAGAGATTACAATTATTTAGATGGAACATTCCAGATGCTTGTTCTGATGCAAGCATAAACATTAGCCTGTTTTCTCTATTAAA